CCGAATTTTAATTAAATTTAAAAAAGTTGATACCCCTAACCGAATATTGACCTCGATCTACACCCTTTTCAGAGATTATTGCTGCGATACTTCTGGATTCATAAAACGCTTTTTCCGAATTTACAGAACACTAAGACAAAGTTTTTTTCAAATCACCTTTTTTTCAGTGGAAAAAAAATTGAATAATTTTTTTTTTGTCATAACTTTAAACCCTTTTCGCACACGTGTGTAAAAGAAGCGTAAATCCGACCCTGCAACCTCCACGTGGTACGCTTTGGGTAACGCTAATGCCGGCGGTTCATATTCATTAAGATTGCGCGATACGTGTTATTTGAAATTTTTTTTGCAAGATTCAAAAATTAGAAACTTCAAGCTTCAAATTGCTTTTTTTTTTCTCCAATACGACCAATTTTATCAAAGATTCAGCCATTTGAAAAATCGCCGAAAATTTAGATTTTTTTTTTGATCCCTTAATTTTTTCCACTAATTTATTAATTTTAAAAACAACTTTTTATACGCTTTCAATTGGTTCCAATACACAAAAATCTCACAGAGCTGCCATCGAAAGTAAAGAAAACGTCAAACGTATGTCACCTGGCGATCGATTAATTTTAATGCACTGCATTGTCAGCGTCTCAAAGTGCAGTAAACTTAAAACAATAAGCTTTCCTAGTTTGACGACAGTTACTACGATACAGAACAGGAATTTAGGGTGATTCTGTTGGCTACACTTAGTTAGTAAATGTGACGTCATTGCAAACTGATCGTAAGTGACTTTAATGAATTAGTTAATTAGTATCACGCAGCAAATTGCCATACATCTCTGTGTAACATAGAAAACTGATATACGTATTTTTTTTAACAATTATCGTGTTTAGGTATGTTGAGGTACCTATGTCCTAAGAATGGTTGAATGATCTCTTGGGTTCTACATGGGTGAAGAGTAAGGAATGGCTGACATAAAACTGGATGATCCTAAAACGTAACTGTAATTAATTCTTATTCATCTAATGATTACAAAATTAAACTAACCAACTGCGTGAGCGTATCATACATGTTTGAATCCTTTAAATCCTTATTAAGAGCCCAATATTCCTCCATCGAAAGTAATGATCCATCTACAAAATGCGTGTCATAATAATAATTTGTATCTGATTTTTCATGCAACGTACCTTGCTTCCATACTTTAAAACAGAGCACGGGAACGCCATAGCTTAAGTTATAGGCAATATGATACTCAAAAGTAACAAGAAATTTGATATCTTCCTTATCAAGTGCTTTTAAAGGCGTCGTATATCGCTTTGTTATAAATTTACCATTTTCAGCACCCTGAAAATATTCAATAAAAAAGTTAAGTGTCGTAAAAGTAATTAAATCAGGGATACCTCTTTTTCTTGTAACGTCCACCCATCCATCAGTATATTTGAAACATCTACAATGGTTTGTATGGAAGTTACAAAATCCTTAAGAGTTAAACTTGATTCCATAATGCCTAGAATTAGAAAAAATTTCAGCAAAATCTCAATAAAACTTAATAATTTAAAGTTACGTCTATAAATGTTACAATCAGGAGTATCTACTAGTAATGGAGATAATTTTTAAACTGCAGTAATGGTGTTTTCAAATTTGCATTTATATTAGCAACAGAAAGATCGTTTCAATTTTTATTTTATATAATGTTATTCATTACACATTTGTCTGTGTAGATTTCTTTAGCGCAACTAAATATTTGGTATCAAAGAGTATATGACTTTATTTGATTAGGTTCTTGCTTTAACACAAAAAGTAATATTACTTAGTACATAATTCAATATTTCAACATTTATACAATAGGATTTTAAGCTAAATGAAGGTGGACTGAGAACGATTTTGGTGGAAATTTGCGCAGGATCTTTGAAAGGATTGATCCGCCGTATTGCGCTTACGCACTCAACTGGATGTGGATACACAACGTACATTTTATATATAGGTCAGAAAAGTTAACATTCTTTAGATATATTTAACAATATTTGCAAGGCTGTCAATTTTCATCTTCGAAAAGGGGAAAAGACAGCAATATTGGAATTATACATAGGTATACACAGAATATTAGAAAACAAAACTATTAGAATATGAATAGTGGTTTTTACAGTAAGTCCTCCTAATCTTCTATTAAATTAATTATAATAATAACAATGTAGTTTATTTGCCGAAATAATAATTATTACAATCAAACAATAAAAATATATAGCAAATAGACAAAGAAAATATCTCACTAGTAACATGTAATTTGAATTTCAGGTTAGTCATATGTATTACAAAATATTCAATTTTAATGCAGAATAGGTATGTAAGTCTTCTTTCAGTTCAGATATTTGTACTATATCAAATATCTTTCACAATTCGCTGGAAGTAGGATCTTTAGAAAAATATTTAGTTACGCAACATTATATATTATGTTGTACTATATTCATTTAATAACATTTTTAATATACAATTTTTATGACATTACATAGGTAGTCAAATTAGGTTTCAAAAGTATACATACAGTACCAAATATTTTTAAAATAAGTCTACGACTTCTGAAACTGTATTAACATCTGAAACATAGTTGACTAATCTGAACTAAAAATAATGCCTTTTGGAATTAAAATTAAGATGAAATTGAAATGGCGCTATCTCAAATAAAATTAACTGTTTCTGAAAAACATCTAAAAGATGTAAAAAATAAAGAAGTTATTTGACGTAATTACTTTTTACATAATTCTTAATAATTGTATAAAAACGATAATTTTAATAACTGCATGTTGGAAAATCTTTATTATAATATCATTAATAGCAATAATATTAGCAGTTAGTAGAAACAGAAAAATTAAAAATTAATTAAACAAATCCTTGCGCCAAAAGAACCGGTCAAAGATTATTTTTATTATACTATTTTTGCATATTCAAAAATCAGGCCGAAAAAAGCAGAAAATTATTGTTAACATTTCAAAAAATCAATCTTTTTTTCGTTATCAAAACTAGTAGGAAAGTTGATATTTCCTCTATTTTCTTCTAGGTAAAACTAAATTTATAAAATCAAACCTTTGACTAATCTTTTTAACGGAAAGATTTATTTACGTAAAAAAAATAAATTAAATAAGAAAGTAGCTGAAAAAGCTACAAATAAATAATTATATCTGTATGGGCTACATACATCAACTAAAAATTAATGACACCAGCAATATCTAGTAAATAGCTAGAAATAAATAATTACTCAGTTTAAAAACTAAAAATGATATGTCTCAATGCAACTAATACAAAACGACAAACCTGATATATTGAAATTGTTAAAAATGAAATCATTCAAAGAAATATTTTGTATCTTTGTTGTTCTAACATCACCATCAGACAAAAACCGACAAGTAAAAAACAGCTACTACAGAAAGATTTTTTGGTTCCACATTTTATTTAGGATTATTTCATCAGGTAGCCTCCATGAATGAGATAAACAAATATTGTTAGAACAAGATTATACATAAAATACACAAAATTTAATAAAAAAAATTGTTGGTGTAATTCACTACTAGCTGCGGCATGTAGCCCTCAAAGGAGCAATAGTAGATACCGTTAAAAAAATTACAGTATTGCTATTTTTTTTATTAAACGGTGAAAGATATGTGTCCGTGACATTATTGCGTGACACTGGAATTTTCGTTGGCTACAAATATTAAATAAGAAACAATTAATAACAGAGCAAACATCATATGATATAATTATTTAAAATAATTAAAAAAGATACGTCCATCTCGATTTTAAAAACGAAAATAGATTAATTTTTTGAAACGTTAATTCACAGAAGAAGTAATTTTGATAGAAAACAGGTTTTATATTAAAAATTTTATTTTAAATTTTTTATTGATTCATAAACTATACAGTATAGGGTTATGTGTGGAATAGCATATCGAATAAATGGCCCCCACGGCTTTGCTGGCACATACGCATACGACTTTTGTCGATATTTTCCATGATCGTTTTGCATAAATGTTCCTGAATTTCGTTGATACAGCGTTCAATTTTCTCCTTCAAGGTGTGGGAGGTCATGAGCTTGTTGGCACAAATCTTTGACATCAAAATACCCAAAGAAAAAAGTCCAATGGCGTTAAGTCGCATGATAGGAGACCAATTCTGACCAAAACGGGAAATTACACTACCAGGAAATGACTCATGCCGTAAGTGAATTGTTTCTCGGGCTGGGTGGCATGTGGCACTGTCTTGTTGAAACCACATGATGTGTACAATTGTACATATATATCATGCAATTTAGTCACAAAAAATGGATTATCATGTCGTGATAGACGCAAATCTTTCGTGAAAATACACTATATAGAGCTTCTCGAAATGTCCAATTCTTGTTCCTGGATTCTCAGCAACACTCCCACGAACTGCTTCGATGTTTTGTGTTGAACGACTTATTCCGACCATACTTTGTACGAAAATTGCGAACTGTAGCTGCCAAACCTTTATTATTTTAAAAATCTTGCTCAGCAAAGAAAATGCGTTCTTCTTTCGTGTAGCGCTCCATTTTTAATAACTTTTTTCCTTGCCAACTCTTTACCGCTCAAATGACGCAAAATTCAAATCTTTCGTGAATTTTGGAACACTCATTATAACTGATGTCAGTGATGTATAGTGATGTGTATTTTTTATTTGTCTGCTTTTTCAGTATGAGATATTTGATTAGGTAAAAGTCGTTTAATAAAAATAACCCTTGACCCGTGACCGATCCTTTTGACGTAAGAGTTTATTTATTTTAATATTTTCACTAGTAGCAAAATATCCAAAAATAATCAGCTACAGTTTCAAAATTCCTCTCAACCGAAGAACCAGTACTTAAGATACTCGCGCTCCATTATTTTAAAAATGATTCACTGAAAGAAATGGGCTTATTAAACTGTTTATCTAGAATAATGTGTATAGCGCATATTAAAACTTTTATAACCAATATACAACTTTTATTAAAAAAAAGCTATCATCTCTGTTACGAATAATTCTGTTAATATAATTGTTATATACAAATTCGGATGCTGGTCTTTATACAACAAATCTTCCCTACTATACAATTGGAATATAAAGTCTATAACACCTAATAATGTATAAGTAATTCATTATAACCTTTATTTCATAGATGCATAAGGTGTATTAAGCACCTTCCAGTTAAACTGATTGA